AGGAGCCGGTTGTCAGACCGTGTCGGTGGAAGGGTGTTCTTGGGGCTGTGGCTGCACGGAACCAGAAACGCTTATATCGCCAGGCCTTTCTAGCTGTCTGAAGGCTGAACGTGTTGGATCTACTGGGTACTCCTGAGAAAACTTTGGCCATGAAATAGCAGATTCAAAGCATGGACACTTTCCTCAGCTCTTTTTGGTCGCCTGGACACATGCTGCACCCGGAGGTCAATCGTTCCATGTTAAAATGTCTACGCTGACCATTACACTCCATTAGTTTGCGGTTCCTCTTGATGGGGTGAGCTCAGTTAAGGTCTTTGCTGGTGGAAGGAGAAGCTTCCATCTCTCTTCCTCCTGCCTTATCTGTGTGGGACCCTTTTTTGGGCTGATTCAGCACACCGGTCTGACAGAAGGCTGGAGAAATTGTTCACAGGGGGTCCTGAGAAGGACCAGGGACCTTGGAAAGGAAAGGAGATGAGACCTCTCCTGACTAGCTCAACTGCTTGTGGAAATGCAGTCTGGCTCGTTCAAGTTTTATTTAGAATACTTGCACGCCATTGCAGGAAACTTGTAATTCAAGAGTTATCTTTTTGTTTTGTTTGAAGTTTGGTGAAATTTTGGTTTTGCTTTCAGCCTGCTGCTGGCTGATAAATCCAACTTCTCTGCTGAGAAGCATGCTAGATTAATTTCCCTCTGGAGCATGGGAAAAAGCTACTGTGGTTGGTGTTGTGTTTATGTTTTGATTTGTTTTGCCATTCTTCTTCCTGATGTTAAAATTGTGCAAGTTGCTCTTTCTGATCGGTGACATCCGCTGGGTTTGTACCCAGAGAGTTTATGTAGCAGCTCAGGTGAAGGAAGAAACTGCTGTGCCTTTTGGTCTGTGTGCTGCGAACGGGGAGTTCCAGGGCCATCCAAACCTGGATCAGAAGCTACACAGAGAAATTCCCAATGGAGAAGTTGAAATGTTGCTGTAGTTCCTCACACAAATACCAAGTTGCTAATACAAAGGGATGTTTCAATCCACAGGCAACTCACTCTCTGAAATTAATGTCCAAAATAAGACAGAAGTTTGGCTGTCCCAACCGGTCATGCAGGTTTGCAGTATTTTTGGTTTGGTGTTACTGGTGGTGTTGTTGTAAGAGGAGAAAAAAAAAAAAAGCTTGTAGACTTGCCCATTTCTTTTTTTAGAATCCAAAGTTTTAATTATGTCATATAATAGTTTTGAAATTCAGTTATATTTATAAAGCGTAATTATTTAATTGGATAAGTGGGGTTGGAATGCACCAGAACAGTTTTATTTGGATCATGAAACCTTTTTGTATATGTTTTTTGTATTTTTAGGAGCATGAAAGTCTTCAATGTTTGTCCTGCAATTTTGGTGGAACATGTTGTAGTAAGCATTTTCTGCAGGGGTTTGCAGTCCTCACTGTCAGGCTGCTTTTCCAGATTCTTAACTAAGAGGTAAAATCCTCCCTGGTAAAGGAGTTGGACCAGAGCAAATATTTTCTGCACTGTGAATTTCCATTTACTAAAAGATGGAGAACTGTCATTTTAGTTTTGTAGTTAGTATCCTTTTAATACGTGAGCAAAACTGATCTTTGTGCTGCTACCGCGGCTAAAAGCTGTAAGTACAAATTGGAAAGAGACAGTTATTCCTAAATAGGAAGACTCAAGAGTATGGTGGAAAAATCATCCTCTTCCTGTCATCCCATTCTTTTTAGCAGCAGGAGGAGGATGGAAGAGAAACCTTGGTTGTTCTAGCATTGAGAGGGGCTTCAAAATTACTTTCTTCTCACAGAAAATGAAGTTTCTGAATGAGATCTGCAGTCTTATAGGAAAACTTGGGTGGTAAATGGAGTCATTAGACTGTTTCTCTGGGGCTTTGTCCCTAGCTGTAATGGTAGCCACCTTCTGCCTGATGACCTTAGCCCTGAGCACGAGTAGAAAAGCTGGCAACTTTTTCAAACTCTCTTTAGCAAGGCAAGCAGGGGGAATACCCCTCCTCCTCATCACTGGGGAAGCATGGGAGGTTTGCTTATACCTCTCGAGAATGGCTCTTTTACTGTGAAATCTCGTTGGGACTGTGTCTGTCCTCTTGTGAAAGAAACTCAGCATTGACCTTGCCCGTCTTCCCTGTAGCTGTCTTTGCTTTGGTATTGATTTTATTGTTCTTGTCCTGTGCAGCATGGATCTTGCCTTGCAGCCCTCCTCTTGGCTCCTGTGTTTGCCACTTTATATCTCTTTGACGGGACAGGAACCTTAGTAATAACATAAAAAATAATTAAAAAAACTCTTTCACATGCCTTACTGTCACAGGCCTACTTTGATGCTCCTTTTTGTGATACCTCTTTTAATTTATAAAAGGAATTTTATTACATATATATGTGAATACATATTGTGTAATATGGAAGGATTTTATATAAGGGAAGCATCTTTCTTATTAGAGCTGAAAACTAAGTGTTTGAGAGTTTTGGCTAATACAAACCATCACCCATTTTGGTCTTTATTAGCTATTTGTTTTCTTAGAGCATGCTGTAAATTATAAAGTGTCTGCATCTGAGAACGAGACACTGGGAGAGTAGTGGGCTGAGTCCCTTCTCTGAGACTTTCCAGTACAAAGGAGTACATGATAAATCCTCTTCCTGTAGGTCCTGTCCACGAGAAGAAACTGCTAAGGCATGAATGCTGTGAGAAGGGAATGGGGAATGGAGATTGCAGATGAGTAAAAATGGTTAACAGTTTAATTTCATGATGACTTATCAAGGATTATGGGCAGTTGTTCTTTGAAGTACTTTAACCGTGTGCTGAGTAGCTCAACAATAACACATTCACTTGGTTATTAGAAAGTATTGCAGGAGCAAGCGAAAAGCTAACTTCTTAAGTGAGCAGTCACTTTTAGTAATGCCTTCTTATAGCAGCGGTGCATGAGGCTTGAAACTGTAAGCTTTGGGTGAGTTGAGCAAGCAGGGAGTAATGAAATCTTAGCAGGGTGTATCAGCTGGGTATCTTCTGTGAAAATCCAGTTTCTGGGTATTGCATCAGTGAGGAAAGATGTAAGTCTTGAACTGTTATTATGGCTACAGGAGTTATTTTCATTCAGAGTCCTTGCTGGGTTTGGCAAGCCTTCTTTTCCAGCCTTTCTACTTGAGAGTCCAGAAATGGTTCTGCCTGGAGACGGAGCCATTCTTGTGCCTGCCATCTGGTGGCCACAGACCACAGATAACTGGACTGGCCGCCAAGAACCGAGCTCAGGCTCTGTCTTAAGGATACAGGAAGAAAAAAGTGGATCCTTTTCTCACTGAGCCATGTCTCAGATGGAGATTGGTTTTTGTGTGGTTTCCCTGGAGGATAAATAAATTCTATAAGTTCTGTTACCATCTTTCTTCTCTTTCCTAGGATATGATGGAGCTCCTAGAGGAAGATCTCACCTGTCCCATTTGCTGTAGCCTGTTTGATGATCCTCGTGTCCTGCCCTGCTCACACAATTTCTGCAGAAAATGTCTGGAAGGGATTCTTGAAGGAAACGTGCGGAATGTGCTTTGGAGGCCGTCCCCTTTCAAGTGCCCCACCTGCAGGAAGGAAACTCCTGTTACTGGAGTCAACAGCTTGCAAGTCAACTATTCCCTGAAAGGTATCGTGGAGAAATATAACAAAATCAAAGTCACTCCAAAAATGCCTGTGTGCAAAGTGCACAGTGGGCAACCCCTTAATATTTTTTGCCGGTCGGACATGCAGCTGATCTGTGGGGTGTGCGCCACCCGCGGTGACCACACCAAGCACGTTTTCTGTTCCATCGAAGAAGCTTATTCCCAGGAGAAGCGGGCTTTTGAAACCCTGTTCCAGGGCTTTGAAACTTGGCGTTGTGGAGATGCCCTCTCACGGCTGGATACCTTAGAAACCAGTAAGAGGAAAGCTCTGCAGATGCTGACCAAAGATTCTGACAAGGTGAAAGAGTTCTTTGAGAAGCTGCAGCACACGCTGGAGCAGAAGCGAAATGAGATTCTCTCTGACTTTGAGACCATGAAGCTTGCAGTGATGCAGGCCTACGATCCCGAAATCAATAAACTGAACACAATTCTGCAAGAGCAGCGGATGGCTTTTAACATCGCAGAGGCCTTCAAAGATGTCTCTGAACCCATTATATTTCTGCAACAGATGCAGGAGTTCAGGGAAAAAATCAAGGTGCTCAAAGAAACCCCTTTACCTTGTTCCAGTGTGGACATCAGCCCTACAATGAAGAGCTTTGACACCAGCCAGTGGAATGGAATAAAACTGGTTGATGTGGACAAACTTGCCTTGCCTCAGGAAAACAACACTCTTAAATTCAAGATTCCCTCAGTCTTTTCGCGCAGATTTATAGTGACCTCTCTTATTTGCTTGCTTGTTCTTGCAATCACCAGAATGTCCTTTGTGGAGTCAGTTGTTGACAATCTCCAGTGCTGGAAATCTCAAATCTTTACAATTAGCTTGTCCTATTTGGCAGATACCGTGGAGATAGCAGATCATGCAGTCTTTTACTGGGAACAGATGACAGATGGAGCTTCACTTCTAAGAGAAAAGTGTAAAAACTATACGTTGGTTGTACTGGATAATGTTGCACAATTTGTGTGCAAATATAAACTGTTGTGAAGCCCCTACTGAAATGTAAGAACTAAGAGACATCTGGTGAAGAAAACATAGAACTTCTTAAAACTAATTGTTTTTTTAAAAACTTCCAGTGAAAACATTCAAAGATTCAAAATGTTCCCAAAAACATTCATCCTGTTCATGTAGTTTGAGCACTGACAAGCTAGAAGATGAAATGGAGTTTTGAAAAGACCATTGTTTCTGGATTCTCCTTTCAGTGGTGTTTATGGGAGTATTATTCACTGTAAATCATTTTTCTTACCGAAATATAGGGCCAAACTGTGTACTTAGTTTAATGTTAATGTAATTGTAGAATAAGATAAAAAGTGTCACTTCCTGAAAGGTCATAGTTTAAAAAAAAAAAAAAAAAAAAAAAGAGGTGGTTTGGGAAGAGAAAGAAGAGTTGTGATTGAGAAGAGCACCGTACTGAGAGGCTTGTTGAGGGCTGCCCTTCCACTGCAAAATACAGAGTGCATCATTCACCTTCTGGAACCACTTTCTATTCGAGGATGTTACTTCTCACTTGGAATAGATACATATATTTATTTTGTATAACCAAATGTTGTAATTATCCTGTGCATTCAGGTTATTGTAGATACTGGTTATTTTTTACACGTTCTATTAAAAAATATATCTTCAGGGCAAGCATAAATTCTAAAGATAATTTCTCTAAAGAGAAATCAGTTGAGGTTGGTAAGAGAAGAACAGGCTGCAAGATAGTACATACTTTGCAGTTTATTTTTCCAGCATCAAATTGTTTGGGGTATCTGAGCTGTTTTGTTAGATCCATGTTTCTCTGAAGCCACACTTCCTTAAAAAGTGGCCTTAATGTGGACAGTTTGGTGCGGTGAAAGGCCCACACAGGTCAGCCCCAGGAAGGCACCTTGCACTCTAGCCCTGCAAAGGTGGCAGGTAGAGCAGTGTCTCTCTGCTCCCTCTCTGTCTCTCCAGATCATAATTCTGAAAGCTGGGAAGAATGATGGGATGATTCTTTGGAACAGAGTGTGTAACGTGACAGGAGTATGGATGTTGTTGGTGTTTGGAAGTGCATTAGCACTGGAACGTATATAGGCTCTTCTACTGTTTCTGTATTTTTTGTGTACCTTGTTTCAGGAGTGAGCGGAGTTTTCTGAGTGGATTGACTTGGCTGCAGGATAGCAGTGACTGAAATTGAACTGTAAGCTTGAGTTCTCTGAAGTGCCCTTCTTTAAGAGCATACAGTACTGAAATATATTGCTTGAAGCACACCTAACCTCTTTTTGCAGTGGTCCTATGAACAGCAGTATGTAGAATGAAAACACCTAGCTGACATTTCTGTGAAACAAAGGTAATGCGTGCCATACTTTGGGGATATTCCTTGGCCTCTCTCAAGGTTTAATAAGTTGAGATGGTTAATTCACTGTCTTTCAGTAGACCTTGCAAGCTGTTCATTTCAAAAATAAAACATTAAATTCCAAGAATCAAAGTTTCCAAGCAACCAAACCGTGCAAACAAAACTATTGTACATGATATTTACATCTTTGTTGCCTGGGAATCCTGTCCCTGCTCCACACCTCACTCCAAACACTTGCTGAAAACACTGAATGGTTCTTGCAGCTGAAGATGGCTTGCAGTTTAGGAAAGATCAAGACATGAACATCAGAGAGTTACAATTCTTGAGTGGCTGAGGTAGTGATGAGTAATCGAGAGGTGGTCGTTCTGAGTGTGGGAGGTGTGAGATTTGTAACGCGGGCTTCCACCTTGCAGCGGTTCCCCGAGTCCAGGCTAGCACGGATGTTGAACGACGATGACCAGGAATTTAAACTGGTGAATGGAGAGTTTTTTGTGGACAGAGATGGAACTTTGTTTAGTTACATCATGGACTTCTTGAGGACTCTCCAGCTCTCCTTACCTACTGATTTCTCAGACTATCAGAGGCTGCAGAGAGAAGCAGAATTCTATGAGCTCTACCCTCTGGCCGACCTCCTGAGCCAGGAACACTTGCTGAAGCCGAGGCTGGAGATCTTGGAAGTGCGTTTTTCTCTCCACAAGATGCAGGCCTTTTTCCGGATCTTTGGTTCCTGCAGTACCACTGTTGAGACACTAGCTGAACAGATCACTGTGTTTACAGGACAGCAGTCAGGACAGAGCTGGAACAGCCCTTTTCCTTCTCAGAAACCACTCGTCCCACTTCCTTTGGAAAGACCTTCTCATCATGACCTGGTTTTTCGGTGTGGTACTGACTACTCTGCAGGCAACCCGTTTGTGGCCAGGTACTCTTCCTAGTGTGAATTCTCATTATAGAAATGTCTTTGTGACTTCTAGTTCATGAAGTACATGCCAGCATTTTAAAGAAACTATCAGACAGCTGTCTGGGAGAAGAGAGAGATGTTTCCTTCATTCTGCTAGTTTAATGGTATCTTTTTCTAGTTCTGAAACACCCAGTTTAATTTCTATTACACTGATTTCCCTGCTCTTCAACTTTCTGAAATACTGTTCTTGATGCTTGTTTTTGAGTTCTGTTGGGTTTTTTCTCCATCTGCCCTTTCCTCCTTACTTGCTCTCCCAGGCTTTAGAATTTCATGGCATCAGTGACCTTCTAAAAGACTTGAAAAACACAGAGTAAAAGGAAGGAAAGGAAACAAAATAAGTAAGGTGTAAACTACTGGAGAAGCCTAAAACCTCCACTAGCTCATGGTCCAAAAGACTTTGATATGGAAAAGAGGAAGAGAATGACTAAACAGGGTTGAAAACACCGGTAGAACTAAGATTGCAATTCAGGGACTGGAAAGCTTTTGTAGAGCCTTTTACTGGGGGAAGGGAGGAGGGGTGGATTATTACCTATATGCTACACAGTGGGTTTTCTTCAAATTCAGAGCGAGATTCTGTTTTTATTAAATTATATCAGTGATTTTTGTGATAGCAGTATCGTATTCTAATGACAACTTACATTTTTTAAACGAGCTTTTACTGGATGTCTCTATTGTATGGAGACACGTTCTTACTGTATAAGAAAATGTAACCTAATTTGTCCTCTGTGGCTGTTGGAACATCTGGAATTTTATAGAAATTTCACTGAAATAGTTCCAAAAGGGTTATTCTTTCTTTATATATGAATCAACACAGCAGTCCTTTGATTTAAAAAAAAAAATCAATAAAGTTAATCTTTCTTCTAGCTTTCTTTAGCTAAGCAAGTAGAAGAAAAAACACTTTGCATTTGTGAAGCAACATATCTTTATGTGCCAAACCTTAATTTTATAATGTTTTACTAATTTTAATGGACTAACAATTGGTTGAGTAGGTTACAGCAACCTCAATAGTGGGAAAAATATTCCTGATTCTTTCCTTTATTACCTCAGACTTGGTGAAAATTGTCCTTTGCAGATCAGTAGAAAAGCTTGTCTTGATTAATGACACAAGTGAAGTTTGATTACGTTGCCTGCTGAATTTCTATCAACTTAGCCTTTGTGGTGACATGGACTCTCTCACCTTTTTTGTGCTTTCCATGAATGTTGGTGTACTTTCTGTGAACTGTGGAACAGTTTCACCCCTGTCAGCTTATGTATTTTTTTACCTTATTTTTTTCTGTTCCTCAGAATGTCTGGATAGATTCTTAAACTGTATTTTATATCACGTAAAATCATTTGAGGCAATGTGAAAATGATTTTCATACTTGTTGCCACAAGACCCGCTGTACAAGGTAACTTTGCAATAAATGTCACTGTTTGTAGAGAGAGATCCCGTGCAATGAAAAGTGATGCTGTTGGGGTGAATGTCGCTTCGTGTCCTTTCCATCACCTACTCTTTCCTGAAGAACTGTTGCAGCACTGTACAGAGCATGCCATTCACCTCTCCTCCATGAAGTGAAATGCGATGGAGGTTATCCCAGCTGTTGCTTTGGTGTGGGGGTGAAAGAGAAGTGCTTCCTCTCGAACACGTAACTGGATGA